GTTCTTACTGGCGGTTCAGTGGTCTAAGGCTGTTCTTTATTCTGTATCTATCAACTTATGCATTGCTTAGCTATTATTGTTTACTCCTCTTTTATTCAGCGGGGGGGGGGGGGGGGTGGGTGGATGGGTGGAGTTTTGGGCTGTTATGTCTTTTGTCTTTTGATTCTGTTAGGGATGAGCGGGCCTCACAGGTGTCATGGAGTTAGAAGGCCGAAGCCTGGGCTTCAAAAAACGGGTTATTTGGGATGTTTCCCCTTATACTAACAGTCCTTAACAGGGTTGATAGTAGGGGGTACTGTAATCCCTATTAAGGACTGTTAGGTACAAGGGAGGAGCATCCCGACGGCTTGGGGTTGAGGATGTTTAGGGTTCCAAGGGCTCACGTTGGGCGGAGGAGGCCTTATAAAGAAACTCCGTCTTATGTGGCACAACGTCCTGGCCCAGGAAGTTAGGCTCGGCATCTTCCTTTCTGCTTTTTCTCCCGGCTCTCCTGTGCAGCTAGACGCCAGCACAAAAGCCCTCTTGAAGAGGACAGACCCGATACGTGAGGTTCGCGCGAACGTATTACCCGAAAAGATACAGGAACCCTTAAATCCTACGCCCACAGCCCTAAACCCTAGCGAACCTGTTTGACCCTTCCAGGGTGACTCTGCGAAGGACGAAGCTGTCGCGCGGGGGTGCCCGACGTGTTGCGTACGGATTGGGGTTTTAAGGCCTGGGTTGAGGGTTCTAAGAGGTTTAAGGGCGTGCGGTTTCAGTTTGGGGTTTAGGATGTTCATGGAATTCAAGGGGTTTGGAAATTTTAGGGTTCAGAGACTGAAGAAGGTGTCTAGGTTTGAAGCACTGAAGGGTCAACGGTTAGCGTTCGATAAACCGTATTCACCACCCATCACGTAGCCCACTGACAAACAAGCAAATGCCCGAGTCTCGGGCCGAATGAAACTTGCCAAGCCCTAAACCCTCAACCTCAAAGCCTAAAGCCTAAACCCTAACCTGAAACCCTAAACCGTAAACTAGGTTGATCTGTGGCAGGGGCAGCTATGCCTTTTTGCCACGAGGCAATGAGAAGGCTCAGCCCTGCCATGATGATCCTGCAGCGTTCCTGACTACCCTACACACCAAAACCCTTCGCCCAAGAACTTTTGAAGCAGCCCTTTATTCGCGCATCTGGCAACAAAATCCCAGAAATTCAGGAGGGGCCCATCGAACGCAGTGCAGGCGGTCATCCTCATTCTTGCCCGAGCCCGCATGTCTTTTGCAAAGCTGCGATGCCCAAAGCCCGCAAAAGGCACATGAAAGCGGCGTTCGCAGCTTTGGACGAGCTCCGGGAAGCCCTGCAGGCACGTTGAGCTGTGAGAGAGGAAACCCTCAAGCCTTGAAGCCCAAAACTCAGTAAGGCCACGGTTCGTGTAGGTTCGTTTCGGTTTCCGGGTACATACTCTGGAACGGTTCCGGTTCATGCGGTTCGCTGCGGCTTGCGGCTTGCGGTTCGGTTCAGTTAGGGTGCCAAACCAAACCCCCCATCCAGCCCCCTACCCAACCGCCCCTCAGCCCCCTCCATCCCAACCCCTCCATCCCCTCCAGCCCCTCCAGCCCGACCAGCCTGCCCCTTTAGCCCCTCCAGCCAGCCCTCCAGCCCCTCCAGCCCCTCCAGATTCTCCAGCTCCTCCAGCGCCTCCAGCCCCTTCCCTCCAGCCCCCTCCAGCTCCAGCCCCTCCAGCCCCTAAACCTTCAAGCGCTCCACCCTCTAGCATGCTGGACGGCTGGAGGGCTGAGATCCGGTTCCATGGCGGTTCGTGTTTGTCGCGGTTTCGGCGGTTCACGGTTCACACGGTTCCTTCTCGCGCGCGGTTCCTGGCGGTTCGGTTCCGGTTGGCGGTTCGGTTCGCGGCTTTCCTGAAACTCCGAAAAAGCCCGAAATGGAGGTTTCCGAAATTCGGGGTACCTGATTGGGGTCCTTATAAGAAGAAATTCTACTGCTGGAGTCTATTTTTGGATCCCGATTAAAAGTCCCGAGCTCCTCAACAGAACCCTAAACCCTCAACCCTAAACCCTAAACCCCAGGCGACCTTATGTGGCAGCTTGCGCAGCTGGAGATGTCTCATGTGAGTTAGGGGTTGTAGGTGTTGTGGGGGCTTGTGGTTTCTGACTTAGGACAAGGCTGTGAGTACACACCCGAAGCCTTTTTAGGCCCAACATAAAACCTCCCCCAAAGCCACAAAAAAAAACCATCCCCCGGAAGCCCCGCCCAGGGGCAAAGCACCACGCTCCGCGCGGACGTGGCCGCTGCCCGTCGCGGCCCCGAAGGGCCTGGAAAGGGGGGTGCCAAGCCTTCAGCTCTGAAGCCTAAAGCCAAGCCCCTAGTCTAGTGGGTTGAGGGTTGAGGGTTTAGGGGTTTAGGGTTCAGGGTTTAGGATTTAGGGTTATTGGTTTAGGGTTTAGGGGCCTTTCGTGAACTGTGCACATGTTCCAGATCCCGGAATCCCCTTTCGCGACCCCACATCGCCAGACTCAGAACTTCGTAGCTTACATGGGGGGTATATTGGGGGGGGGGGGTGGCATAACGGGGTGTAAGGGGGGTATAAGGGCGATAGAAGGGAGGGTAGCCCGGTGGTACCCTTTCCCCTTTCTTCCTTATAAAGTAGCCAACCCCCGATATGGCTACTGCGCTGCCAAGTATGTGACCCTTGGGTTTCGGGTCTGAGGGGCTCAGGGATCCCTGGAGGCTACCGCCCCTTTGATTTATCTAATTCAACATGAATATATATTTTTATTCATATTTTTACTTCATTATTAATATAAATATGTTAGATACATATATATATATATATATATGGTCTCGGGCCTTTGTGGGCAGAGGTCGGCACTATTCAGCAGCCTCGCACGTCGTGTCGAAGGCGCTTGGGGGTTTCTGGCTTCAATGCTCGCTTCAGGGCCTCAGGGCTTCAAGCCATGCTTCAGGGCTTCGACCTGGAGTAAGCTTTTGTGCTTAATTTTGCACATTTTCGCACAGGTTGAGGCTCCTTCTCCTTAAGGTTTGGGGTTCGGGTCCCGACGAAACCCTTGAGCCCTGAACCCGAAAATGACAACCCTCCATGTCCCAGGCCTTTCAGAAACCCGAAGCTCCAAGGGTCTAGCCTCCTGCAGGTTCGAGTTGCTGGGTGAAACGAGCCTCTCGACCCTTTTGCATCTTTAGTAGCGAGTGAGAGATCGCGCCTGCAGGTCCGCTTTGAAGCGTTGTGCGCGCCGAAGGGCAAGAAGGGCAGCGTGCCCACCTGAATAGGGTTTAGGGTTTAGGGCTTAGGGCTTAGGGCTTAGGGTTTAGGGTTTAGGGTTTAGGGTTTAGGGTTTAGGGTTTAGGGACCTCACCTGGGGGACATCTTCAGCCATGGCAAGGCCCCTATCGTATGAGGTCTCCAGAAACGCAGTACCATGCAGTACCTGCCCAGAAGTGCACATAGGTGTGGCCCACTTTGTTGCAAGAATGGTATTATCTCAGGAGCCGAGGGTTTCCCACAGAAACTGACCTACCTACGTCATCAAGAAAAACTACGATGTACACGCCTAAGCCAATTCCCCAGACCCTTTAATCTACATGCCCTGCACCCACCCCGAAAGCTCGAAGCCATCAGCCTTTGCAATCGTGCCCCAAACCCTAAACGCTATGCCCCCCATGCCCTGCACCCACGCCGAGGGGTCGCCACGATGTCGGGATTAAGGACAATTCAAGCTTGAGTTTAGGGTTTGGGGTTTAGGGTTTGGGGTTCGGGGCTGAACAGGTCTCAGCCCAGACTCAGGTGCGGGAAGGCTCTGGCTCGAAGACCATCTCGCCGGTCGGTTCGCGCGAGGGCTCCCGGACCATCGCGCCGCTGAGTTCGCGCCGCTTGGCCGAAGTGTGAATCTGGGAAAGTCGGGACTTCGGTCTCGGACTCAGAGTTTCGGGGTTTCGGGGTTCAGAGGGGGGCTTAGGGCTTAATGAACCCTCCTGAGAACCCTAGGTCTGAACCCTAAACCTGCAAAAAACCCCGGAAGAAGGAACCATCCATCCTTCAGAGAGCCGCATGACTTGCCCGGCGCTTCTCCAGGTGAGCACGGTTCAACCTTGTGAGGCCTCTCTGAGCAGCCCCGAGGGTTTTTGGGTTTGGGTTTTTAGAAGGGGAAATCAGAAGGAGCCGGGGCTCTGCACCGCATGAAGTTGAGGGCCTGGGACACAGTTTAGGATGTAGGAGGTGGGTTTAGGGTTTAGGGTCTGGGGTCTAGGGTTTAGGGTTTGGGGTTTAGGGTTTAGGGTATTTAGGGTTTAGGGTTTCGTGACGGATGCAAGGCAGTCTCAAAGGCAGCTGCCTCGCAGCTAACGAAACGGCCTACGGCCAGCCATGGCGTGCGAAAACAACCGTCTGCGGAGTTTCTGGTTTGCCTTAAAGCCAAGGAGTTTGGGCGTCAGATTTTGTGGGGTGCTGGGACTAGCAGCTCTTCGGTAAAGGGTAAGCTCAGCTGTCCCCTATGCTGCAACTCGTGGGGCATCTTCCTGCACTTGATCTGAGCTTCCAGCCAGGCCCGCCAGGAAATGCAACCACTGCAGCGCCATCCGCGCAAAGTTTTTTGGCTTCAGATACTTGCGCACATGTGCAGCGGTGCAGTGCGAAGTGCATCTTCACCCGCATGCCCACGAATCTGTAAGCGCAGGACCTCAAGTTCCCAAACCCACCACCAGCCTCACACCTCCCAGCCCTCACGGGAGCAGCCCATGTCCCCAACCCCCCACCCTATTCAGAGAATTGAGAGAATTGAGAAGTTGCCCATGGGCGCCAAGCGGAGGCGTCAAGGGCTTGTGTGGAAGGCCTAAGACTTCCCGTGCCCGGGCCCAAGCCGACGTAGACAAGGCTTGGGTTTTAGGACCTGAAGGCCTAAAGTGCCTGAAGTGCCTAAACTTCATATGAACCACAAGCAGAGCCCTAAACCCGATAGAGAGCCTGCTGTTCCAACCTGCGAAGGCGCAGATGACGCTGATCCAATGGCCCGGGCTCTCCATTTCACAGGCTTGTCGTGAGATCGGTACCCCGCTAAATCGAGTACACGTTGAACCAAGTATCAAGTTGCCCACACAAAGTTGTACATCGCAATCAAACCTAAAGCCTAAACCCTAAACCCTAAACAGGTAGCCCATAAAACTTTCGAGCCACAGGAGCCTCCTCCCCCTCCTCCCCCCCTCCGATGGGCAGGATGACCTGGCGGATCCCATCCCCGAAGAGCGTGCCGGGGAGGCCTGAATCCTCCGCGAGGAAGGGGTTTAGGGTACGGGGGCAACCGAAAGGGAAAGGAAACCAACCCCAACAGTCGCCAGAGATTTCACCCTGAACCAACCAGCAAACAACAGGAACTCAAAACTTCTTTTTGCTACCAGGCGCATGGCCCGGTCTTGAGCCATGAAGATCAGCAGGTACATTGACCCTTCAACTTCCAACACCAACTCCTTTCTACAATACCAACTGCAGCTCCGCACTCCCCCTGTCCTAGGATTTCCTAGGACACACATTGGAGGTGCAGACCTTTGGCCAAAAACTGCCATTAGGGCAGCAGCCAGCTGCCTGAAATGCACATTATGGTTTTACGTCATCCAGGACGAATTTATAGCTCATTGGCTAAACCCACTAACCACAGAGAATCTTTTTTCACCATGATCCTCTTGTCATTGAAGACTCTTCGGTCTTCTTCACCACGAACCGTGGTCTTCGCTACGCAAAAAGCTACTGACTTCTACTATCAGGGATTTCCATACCCTTAATAGTAACCACCGTATTCTCAGCGCATTGGCTGATCCAGCACACCTGTCTTCAGAAAGAGAAAAACCATTCCTTCATCCATACCATCCAGTCACTTCTTCTTCCGATGGGTATCGATACTGAGGTGAAGTCGCAGCAGAACATACTCTAGGTCCGACACTGTAAGAACAGGATCCTGCACGCACCTTTGAATTGAGGATACCAATCCCTCTCTCTTCGCGTCCTCAATCGCTTGGCAAGATTGACCCAGCTCTGCATCCACAGTGGTAGACGCTTGCGCATCCACATCAGAGGAACGATCCTTTTCCTCAGGACCTTTCACCACTACCACCTCTTCCTTCTTGGGGCTTTGACTTTTCTCCTTCTTCTTCGTCTTTCCCACGACGCTTGACTTTGTGCGCATTCTCGAAGAGGCCTTTTCCCCTGCAGGAACCACCGCATTGGATGATGATCCACCCTTCTCAATGATCGCCGGCATCTTCTTCGGCTTTGGAACCATGAGAGTATAAGGATCCTCGCTAGCTGCAGTTTTCCTCTTCTTTTTGACCTTTTTCACCTCTTCCTCAACGGCAACATCCGTCTCCGAAGTTTCAACCACCTCCTTTTCGGCAGGAATATCCTTGCTGGACTCCCTTTCTAGGGACCTCTTTTTTCCCCTTTTGGGATCTCTCTCTTCTTCAACATTGGCTCGCTCAAACCATATCCTCAGGTCATTGACCCATTCTTCCACCTCCGCCAGCGAAACCTCATACGACTTCACTATTTCGTGAAGTTCCAGTGTAGACAACATACCAGTGGTCCATGAGCACCATTCTCTATCCATCTGTTCAGCGTCTCCCTTGAACTTCAGGAGTTTGAACACTGGGTCCGCCTCTGCACGAGCCAAATCTGACTTGCCATTGGACATAAATGAAATCGCCTCCATCAGCAGTTCTACCATTTTGGTATCATCGTCATAAACCATGAAATCCTCCTCATCTTCCTCGAACCGTTCAGGAGAGATCTCCTTTTCTCCACCTTTTGCACCAGAACTTCTCCTTGGACCATCCCTTGGGGGCGTCCTTGGAGACCTTGGCCTCTGTTCATCCAGCGGATCACCATGCTCAAAGACACACTTGTCCCCATAACGGCACTTCCCAGACTGAGCAAACTGGATACACCTTACACCAGTTGCATCATGTGAGAACTTACAGTCCTTTCCAGAGAAGCAGTGTCTCCCAGCCACATAGTACTTGCACCAATACGATTGCAGCGCCACATCATCTTCTGAATGGATGAATTTGCAGTGTTCACCAAATTTGCAGCGATCTTTTCCCCTGCTGAACCAATAGCAGAAGCCTTTCTTCCTCTTCTCCAAACGCTCCGCCTCGTACCGGTCCATAGGGCGATTCTGCTCTACATGAACATTGCCACGTACCTGAGAACTGCTCCCTTCACCCAAGGTGCTATCAGTATTTGATGCTTGGAGTACAGCTGGAAAGCCTGGCCTTGGTCCTACCACCTTCATGATTGGTTTTCCGCCAGCTCCTGAGCCACGCTGAGACGATCCAAAAACATTGAATATTTTCACGAAGGCCTTTCTAGTGCCGATCTTCTGCGCCCTTTTGATTGGATGTTTCATTGCTCCAACCTTGCATCCAGATACATTCAAACGACACAACCTCCTATACCCAGCTCTATATCCCTTTTTCCAAAGAGCCATAAGAATTCTAGAGGCAGTAACATTCTCCACCTCTACCTTTTCCAACTGTCTCTCACTTTCCGGAACAAACCCATCCAACCCATCCATATCTGAAGACCTTTCCATCTTTTTTGACACCGCTTCGTCGAGGTAGTCTTCAGAGATCCAGGGTAAGTTCCTCTTAGAGGAAAAATCGTCACCATTGTCTGGTCCTTCACCAGGATACCCCTTCGTGCTGTCAAAGATCCTACCAGTCGCGCGGTCCTGCGCAGAGAAATCCCAGTTGGAAGCAACGCGAGAGTACACTGACCACAAGAACATCCTTGTGCCAGCCAATCTTGACGAACCACTGGATGTCTCCTCTTCTGGAGAAACTTCTGGCGCTTTGCCATCCCTTCCAGTGTCACCAATTGTCTCACCTCCAGCATCTTCAATGGGAATAGGGGATTCATTGTTCCCTTGATCAAGTACCGCATCTTCCTGTCCAAGAATCTCCAGCACCGTTGTTGAAGGATCCACTTCCTCATCAGCGTCGTCGTCCATCCTTTTCCAGAGAACCTCCAATTGATCAGCGCGTGTCGCCGCCTGAAGGAACTCCATCAATTGATCCTTCCCGCGCTGCCAGAGAAATTCCGAATTCACCACTGACCCTTGGCCTCCTAGGGTAAGGAACGGAGCAACCAATTTGGCTACCCTCGCCATAAGTTCAACGTGAACTTCCATGCCTGGACTGCGACTCCAATCGTAGGCAATTGCCTCCATAGCAGTTCCAAACTTATCAGTATTTCTGAATTCCCCTTCCAGACTAGGAGACAGCAATGCACCCATCACCGAGAGAGGATAATTTCCCACCACTGGCAAGCACGGATTGTCATGGAACGAATGATGCAAATCACCATAATATCCTTGATCTCTCCTTTGAAAACGGAGTGTCCCAGTCCCTAGCTGGGCATTCAATTCATCCACTTGAACCATTTCAGCACATATCCTCTGTGCTGCAGTCGCTATTGCCGGCCAGATGGTACGATCGGTCAAACCGCGACGCATAACCCAATCAGTTGTTGGCGACTGAATCAGCGTTCGTGGATCATACACCATAACCACCATTGTACCATCATCCATTAACTGATCAGCATCGTCCTCCAGTGCCAGGTTCAAATCCTGTTCGCTTGCACCTTCGGATGACATGCTAATAACCAAATTTCGATCCATCTTATTGGACCCCTTCTGACAGTCCCTTTGCCCCACAGGCAACTGGCCGACAGCAACCTTCCAATAAATCCGATTCAGAAGGCCTTTAGTAAGCAATTGCTGAGGGTCCTTCTTCACCGGACGAACATCCAATGTCTTCGCACCATCACCACGGAGTTCATTGCTCCCACCTTCTCCTTCTTTTTGGTCAGTCTCCTCGCCAGAAATTTGCACTGCTCCTTCCAGCGCCGTCTCCTGTCCAGCCACTTCTTGCCCAGGAAGAACTTGAGCGCTTTCAGATACATTCACCTGTCCAGCAACACCTTGCCCAGGTAAAACCTCATCCGTGGAGCCCACCGCCAGCGAACCAACTATAACTGAGCCATCCCTTGCTCTTTTTTGAGACTGTTCAGTTCGACGAGAAGGTTGTGGTAGCGAAAAAACTTGAGAAGTCACTTCTTGGCGGGTCTCCCCCCGCGACGCTTTGTCGCGCCCTTCGCCAAGGTGAACCGATTTTTTTTGCCCATCATTGGAGCTTGAAGAACCAGCAATTGGAACATTGCCACGCGTCGCAGTTCTTTGTGAATCCCTTTCTCGCACAAAGATTTCCCTCAGGTGTCGCGCGCTGTTGGTTTCTTCCTCGCTTGAATCACCTGAGGAATCTGCATAGGAGACCAAAGCTCCCGTTTGATCATCATCATCCACCAAATCTGCCCACGCTCTGCTGAATGGGTACGACAAACCACCACGGGGCTTTACTGGTTCCAGCGGCTTTGGCTTTTCCACCACTTCCGCCGGCTGCACTCGCCGTTGTGAGCGAGAGCGTGGCACCTGTCGCACCTGTTTTTTATCCAGCAAGGGCCTTCCCCTTTTCACAGGGTTTGATCTTGACCGATACGCCTTTGTTGGCGGGTTCACCGGTGGCATTCCAACTCCCACCAATCGCAACCTCTGCACGCACAGCGGGGATCTCTGCGCAAGCGTCCATGCGTCACGGTACTTGCCGGTGTCGAAAATCTCTCGATAAGACCCTCGCGGCATCTCCTTTGTACCAGGACCTTCAGCTTCACGCACCTGAGAGATAGTTCTCACCCCATCTCTTCCAGCTTCTCGGCTTCCAGAAGATTGCTCCATGCGTACCGACGCGTTGGTAGAAACAGCCACATCCGGCGACATTGGCCGGTACTGAACACCACCCACCAATTGCAGAATTTTGCAGGCCGTCACCTTGTTAACTCCTTTTTCCACCAAATCCTCCACAAAGATATACTCTTGTAGCTCTTTGACGTTGGTTACACCCAGCTTGATCATAACATCACTTACGTGAGGTGTATACACCCACAAGTGGTTGTTGCGAGCCATCCAATGTTCTATTGGCTCTTCAGGATCCTGAAGACGTACCGCGGTAGACTCTGCCACCGAATCCTTTTGTACCTGTCCATCCGTTCCACCCAGTGTATCACCTTCACCTGTTTTCTGTGACACATTGGTCATTTGCAGCGCTTTTGGTGCCGAGGATGACGAAGATTCTGCTCCCCCACTTACCGGTGGTTGAAAGGCGTTCCTGTCGGGAATCTCCAATCCTCTTCCCCTTTGAAATGAAACATGGTTCGCCACATTCACCAGATGCCTCAACTGGGCCAGTCGTTCTTCAGACGTTTCTTCGTGAGAATACTTGCAACCATATCGCACGCGACACCTCCCTTTGATGTAGTAGTCGAAGCAGCAATGATGGAACCCTGCTTCCCTTAGGGCCTTCCGAGATGCATTGTCCCAGGATCTGCCGGGCTCCCAAGTCCCTTCCAAAACCGCTTTTTCATCGTGCGAGTATCTGCAGGAATTTCCATATTTACAACCTTCTCCTTGGTTGTAATACAGACACATTTGCCTCTTTGGCTCGACTGACACCGACTCACCCTTTGATGCACCTTTACCAAAGTTGTACTTGGCTCTGAAAGCTGAATCCTCCCGCTCCTGCTGTGCCTCATCCACTGTGCCTTCTTCCGTAGGAGGGTCACCAATGTCCCCATCCTCGTCTCCAGCTTTTTGGCTGTTCTTTGGCTCAGTTGGTCCTCCTCCTGGCCAACCTTCACCATAACGACGATGTTCATAGGAACACTCATCTCCATTGCGACACCTTCCCTGATTGAAAAACTTGCACAGTTTACTGTACCCCGGCGACACAGTTTTTGGCGTCAGGTGAGCTTTCTTGTACTGATCGGGATCCATGTAGGCTTCCATTGGCTTGTTCTCCCTTTTACTCATGGATTCCACTGCACCATCAAGCTCCTGCAAAAATCGCTTGGTGTCCAGCCAAAGCGCGTTCCAAAGTTCATCTTTGCCTTGACTCAGCAACGTTGCCACCGCTTCACCCACAACTGGTCGACTAAATCTCCTTTTCCTACATGCCAGTTCGTAGAGCGCGTTGTGGTACTGTTTTCGGGAAAAGGTGGTTGTCTTTCCCAAGCCTGCGCCTTCTGCACCATCGGGCTTCCAACCATCACTTTGCAAGATGCCATACGCACGCCGAGCTTCCGCATCCAGGAATGCATGGTCTGCAACACACTCCTGTATCTCATCCATTGTACGACCCAACAGCATCCCAGTGATTTTGCCCACATAGGCCTTATCAGCCTTTCCATCCTCAAGAAGAGCTCTATAGATCTTTTCTCCATAGAGTTGCCTTTCCTCTTGTTCTTCTGAGGATAACTCCTGATCAGCAAACCATTCATCGGATTGCTCTTCCTCCCATTTCCAGTCCCATTGACCGTCGGAACTTTGGTGCCATTGACCAGCATACCATGAATCTGTCCACCACGTGCTCCAGCCGCTGTCTTTCCATTTGCGCAGCATCGAAGAAGAGTCCTCCTCGTCCTCTTCCAAAACCAGGAAGGTGTCCAAGATCACGGTACCATCATCTTCCACCCTTTTCACTGTTCCATTGACAGTGTCACCAAATTTGAATAGATGTGTATTCTTCCCTTCTGCAGGAATCAACACATTCACATCGCCATGGTCCAAAAAGGCTCCATGCCCATTGATGCAGCGCACTAGACCAACGATCTGATCTCCCTCTTGATAGCAATGCTCCCCAGGTGTATCCAAGGCTCCCGCACTGGGCACTTTCTTTGCATGCTCTTCAGAAACCATCTCTGTATCATCGGCTCCTGAAACATCCTTTGTTTCCACCTTTGGGTCACACTGCTCGTCCTGCTCCTGCACGAGTCCCACAAGATCATCCACCTTGTGCTCCAGGGGCTCAGGACCTTCCTTTTTTCTCCAGCCAATGGCTTTGCCTCATCTGTTGCAGTTCGCTCGGTGTCGACTTCCGGCGAGCTTCCAGACGGCAATACTTCCCCCTTCATGGGAGCGGACCCATCATTGGAGTCTTTTGTCACACCTTCTGCAGCAGGCAAATTTTCTTCCACTGCAGGGCTATTGGATTGCTCATCCGCGGCAGGTACATTTTCTTCCACCGCAGGCTCCTTTGGCTCCATGGTTTCCAAAGGAGAATTGCCACCATCATTGACCACAGCTGCCTCATCGGCTCCGGTGTAGCCCTTGCTATTTCGTTCCTCGCTGCTAACTTCAGGTTGCACCAGTGCGTCCACCTGTGAACCTCCGTCGTCAGCTGCTACGGAGACCTGCGCCCCATTGTTGCAGTCGTCCGTGGAACGTGACACCATATGCACCTCAACCCGTGCTTCTTTCGCACTCCAGGTACTATCTGGCACATTGACCCGCGCATCATTGGCGCTCCAGGCCTCATCTTTCAGATCTTCCGTGTCTCCAGCTATTCCAGAAGCTTCTTTTTCTCCCTGAATGGCAAGATTCTTGGCACCAACCGAGGAGACCTCCTCAGTCGTAACGCACAACTTTTTCCCTCCGTCCTCCAAATCTCCAGGATCACCTTCCTGAACGACAGGTACCACATCCACCACATTCCACCACTCTCTCTTCTGCAGCCGACACAGTTCCAATCTCCGCATTGGGCATTTTTTCCTCTGGACCCACCGATTCCACCGCTGCCACACCCTCAGAAAGCGCTTCCATTTCTTCCCGATCCAGATGTTCTCCAGCGATGTCTGCTCGGCTTCCAGAAATCCCTTCTTCATCAGGAGAACCCGAGGTCGGGGCGTCACCACCAGCCCTAAGACCGCTATCCCTGATAGTAGAGGAAAAATCCTTTTCACCTACACTATTTACACCGCTGTTGACGCTTTCCAAGCTACCCTGTTGTGCCCTGAAAGACTCAGTAGGCGACGAGGACGAAGTAGTACCCAGTGCTGGCTCTTCTTCCACAGGGACAATGCCCATTCCAACACCAGACCCTTCACTGTTTCCAGCCATCCCAGTCTTCTTAGGCAACACCCATTGGGTATCTCCCGTGTCTAAGCAGTAAAGATATTCTCTCCCATCCTCGTGAAAATGGCGTTCCCATGTCTTCCCATCACAGTCGATGATTGGAAGGTCAGCAGCTTGAGACAATTTGCCTCCACCGTCGGCGTATAAGTCTTCATCTGACTCCTGCTGTATTCTCACTGCCTCCAATTCCAGGATTTCTCCTTCACTCATCACCATAGCAACAGGAACGACTCCTTCTGCGTCCCCAACGACGAGGATACTGCTTTTTGTCGCAGCAACAGGCGCAGTTTCTTCCGCTTCACCTGTCAACAGATCACCACTTTCAGCCGCGAAGCTCACTTTGTTGCGAGCTCGCTTGGAAACAGGGATAACATCCCCAACCAGCTCTGTCTGGCACCCTTGCTCCACCATCTTTGACGTAGAGGAGCTTGTTGTTGGCGCTCCCGTTGATTCAGCAGGTCCCGCAGCTCGAAGACAAAGCCCATGTTTACTCAGAAGGCGCAGCAAAACTGCTTCCATCTGGTCTTCCAGTCCTTCCACCACCGGCTTCTCTCCGCCACGCATACCACCAGCATCAACCAGAGCTTCCACATTGGGAACAACTTTTTCACCCGTTGCAGACCTTTTGACACCACCTTCACCTTGATCGCCCACATTGGAGCTCGATGATGCCGTACCAGTCCGTAACCAGTTGGTCGCCATGGCTTCAACTATCACCCTAAAGCCGAAACACAGACCGCAGGGAACCTAATTTGGGCTCATAACCTACGGGGGCAACCGAAAGGGAAAGGAAACCAACCCCAACAGTCGCCAGAGATTTCACCCTGAACCAACCAGCAAACAACAGGAACTCAAAACTTCTTTTTGCTACCAGGCGCATGGCCCAGTCTTGAGCCATGAAGATCAGCAGGTACATTGACCCTTCAACTTCCAACACCAACTCCTTTCTACAATACCAACTGCAGCTCCGCATAGGGTTCAGGGGTTCAGGGGTTCGGGGGTTCAGGGGTTCAGGGGTTTAGGGTGTAGGGTTTAGGGGCCCCCTAAGCCCAAGGCCCCAAACAGGAGGCACCCAGGCTCTGTCTCGAGTGTCCCTGCATCTTACGCTGGGGGTTCACGGGTACTTTTTTGGCAGGGTTACTTATAAGTAACCTAAGTGGTGTTATGAGTAGAATTGCCACAGTTATAGCCCTACTGATAGCTACCCATGAACCTCCAAGTAGTTCTCTAGATTAGGGTCGCTTTTTTGGGTCCCTCTATAATGCGGCACCCTTATAATGAGGATCTCAAAAGGGACCCTTATGTAGAGAAGTACCCATATGCCCAACAGCTCAAGCAGCACTTTCCTTGTGTTAAGAGCACCCTAAACCCTGAACCCTAAACCCTAAACCCTGAACCCTAAACCCTAAACCCTAAACCCTGAACCCTAAACCCTAAACCCTAAACCCTAAACCCTAAATCGAAGCAGAAGCCCGCAAACCCCTGGAGCAGGTGTCACGGACTCCCGCCCGCCGGCCGCGGCCACGCAGCCGGGGGCTGATGGCTAGGGCTTATGCTGGTAGCTAGTAGGGTTTAGGGGTCTAGGGGTTTAGGGTTTAGGGTTTAGGGTTTAGGTTGAGGGTTTGAGGGTTTGGGGGTTTCGGGGTTTCGGGGTTTTCGGAATTTTGGGTTGTCATTGAGGGAGGGCGCCAGGGGGCACAGGATTCAGAGCCTTGGGTTTTGTGCAGTTGTTTGTGGCTTCGAGTCAGGAACGCGAACCCTCAACTCCGAATCCCAAACCCTACGTGAAAGCCCAAAGCCAAAGCCCCAAATCACCAACTTCATGCAGCCCAGCAGCCCCTCAGGCACGCCTTCCCGAACACGAAACCCCTACTTCAACAGTCGGTGGTGTTGAGCTGCATGCTCCAGAAGACGCAGCTCCAAAGCCTACATAATCGTGTATTCATATAACAATGCATGTGAGCCCAGGTGCTGACAGCCGCCAGCCCCCAGCTGGGGCGCCGGTGGCGCTCAAGGCATCAGCGTCGGCCGGGACCCCATGCCACGGCTTCGACCGACTTACCTTGTTTTTGTCTTGTGGGGGAGGGGGACGGCCTTGAAATGGTCGTGGCAACACCAATTACCGTAGGATGGCAACTGGGGTTGAGGGCTCGCGGCCTTGGAAACCCTCTTAGGGCTCATGAAAAGGTTTCGTGGTGCGCGGAAAGCAGGTCAACCTCTCAGAACCTGGGCCGCTGCTCAGGCAACGGGGCTGTCGATGACCTACAGCAGCAGCGATGCCGCTGCTGGGACTCTAAAGCACAAAGCTTTTGTCGTAGCCTTCAGATCCCTTAGCCTCTGAATACATGACTCCAAGAGCCTACGGCCCAAACCCATCCTGAAGTCCACGCCCTGCAGCGGCAGCTCCAGGGTCGTGGGGTGCAAGGGTTTAGGGCCAGTTGTTGAGGATACAAGCGCGGGGTTTGGAAGAACTGCCTCCCATCAAGACTCTTTTAGTCCGTTCCATCTTGCATCCCACTCCTGCACCTGGGAAATCTTAAATTCCTCCTAAGCAGAAAGTCTGAACCCTAAACCCGAACCCCCGCCAAAGCCCCGAAGCATCCTTTAGTACGACCCCAGCAAATGCGTTGTGGCTGAGATCCACTAGGATGCACTGCGGGGTCTCCGAGGTGCCGTGGACGGGCCCGGATCGGCGAGGTCCCCGACCCTCCCAAGTAGGGTTTAGGGCCTTTGTTTTGGGGGGTCGCCAGCGTTGGGACCCGACCCTCCCTTGGGTAGAAGGCCTTCATTTGCAGCTCTTGACCATGTACTAAAGTGCGAAGCCACTGCCTTCGGTAGAGGTAGGCATGTGTATGTGTATTGGTGCATAAATAAATATACCTATATATATATATATATATATATATATGGTACCCCCCCCCCCATATGCCCACACTTTTTCCTCTCAGGTGCCATGGTAGGGTTTAGAGGCTTAGGATTTCGAAGCCTCCGAGGGCAGCGAGCACGAAAGCGCTCTACTGTACCAATGTTTTAGGCCCAGAAGAGCAAAAACGCTGTACTGTCCCAAAAAAACCAATCCTTTTAAGCAAAAACAAGCAAAAATGCCGTACTGTCCCAAAAAAACCAAAAAAACCAAAGTTTGGAGACCTCCAGGCCCTGGAGGAGCCCAAGGTCTCCAAACTTTGGTTTTTTTGGTTTTTTTGGGACAGTACAGCATTTTTGCACTTTTTGCCTTAAAAAGATTGGTTTTTTTGGGACAGTACAGCACTTTCGAGGCCTGGGACTGCAAAAACGCTGCACTGTCCCAAAAAAACCAATCTTTGTAAGCCAAAACAAGCAAAAATGCCGTACTGTCCCAAAAAAACCAAAAAAACCAAAGTTTGGAGACCTCCAGGCCCTGAAGGAGCCCAAGGTCTCCAAACTTTGGTTTTTTTGGTTTTTTTGGGACAGTACAGCATTTTTGCACTTTTTGCCTTGAAAAGATTGGTTTTTTTGGGACAGTACAGCACTTTCGAGGCCTGGGACTGCAAAAACGCTGTACTGTCCCAAAAAAACCAATCTTTGTAAGCCAAAACAAGCAAAAATGCCGTACTGTCCCAAAAAAACCAAAAAAACCAAAGTTTGGAGACCTCCAGGCCCTGAAGGAGCCCAAGGTCTCCAAACTTTGGTTTTTTTTGGGTTTTTTTGGGACAGTACAGCATTTTTGCACTTCTTGCCTTGAAAAGATTGGTTTTTTTGGGACAGTACAGCACTTTCGAGGCCTGGGACTGCAAAAATGCTGTACTGTCCCAAAACAACCAATCTTTGTAAGCCAAAACAAGCAAAAATGCCGTACTGTCCCAAAAAAACCAAAAAAACCAAAGTTTGGAGACCTCCAGGCCCTGAAGGAGCCCAAGGTCTCCAAACTTTGGTTTTCTTTGGGTTTTTTTGGGACAGTACAGCATTTTTGCACTTCTTGCCTTAAAAAGATTGGTTTTTTTGGGACAGTACAGCACTTTCGAGGCCTGGGACTGCAAAAACGCTGCACTGTCCCAAAAAAACCAATCTTGGTAAGCCAAAACAAGCAAAAATGCCGTACTGTCCCAAAAAAACCAAAAAAACCAAAGTTTGGAGACCTCCAGGCCCTGAAGGAGCCCAAGGTCTCCAAACTTTGGTTTTCTTGGTTTTTTTGGGACAGTACAGCATTTTTGCACTTCTTGCCTTGAAAAGATTGGTTTTTTTGGGACAGTACAGCACTTTCGAGGCCTGAAACTGCAAAAACGCTGTACTGTCCCAAAAAAACCAATCTGTTAAGCCGATTCATATTATTTTATACAGGAGTCCGATTGGTTCCTATTTATTTAGCAAGGTTCCTTCTCATTTTAAAAGGATTCCTATGAATTATAACCGGTTCTTTTCAATTTGGTAAGGGTTCCTATTCATTTTCATAGGCTTCCTATTAACTTTCACCGGTTCCGAAAAAATATTGGCAGGATTCCTATGAAGTCAATAGAGGATTCCTATGTATTTTTATAAGATTCCAATAAAGTTTCATAGGGTTCCTAATTCTTTTAATAAGGCTCCTACTAATGTAATCAAATTCCTATCAAGTTTAATCAGATGCTTATTCATGTTAATGGGATTCGTATTTATTTTAATAGGGATCTCATTCGTTTGAAAGGGATACCGATTGGTTTAGGCTCATATTAATTTTAGTCGGATTCCTATTATTTAGGGGTTCACACTTGTTTTTTATAGGAGTCCCATTGGTTCCTATTAATTTTAGTAGGGGCCCTCTTCAGTTTATTAGGATTGCTATCAAGTGTAATTCGGTTCTACTTTTTCTAGGGTTCCTATGGATTGAAATAGAGGATTCCTGTTTTTCTGCGTATAAGATCCCAATACATTTCCATAGTTTGCCGAATTGTTTTAATAAGGCTCCTACAAATGTAATATGATTCCTATCAATTTTAAATAGGATTCTGTCATTTGAAGAGGGTTCCCATAGAATTTAATAGAATTAAGGGTTCTCATTCCTATTAATGGGTTTCCTTTTCATTTTTATAAGATTCCTATTGAAACAAGATGAATCCTATGAACCCAATTTAATTTGATAGGAACGCTATTCACATGCATAGGATTTCTATTTAAACTCATAGCATGCAATCCACAATCTCGAGCAAATTGTTCAGGTCACTTCTGCTGGAGTTTTATGGGAGTTCCTCCCCGCTTTAAAAACCACCGCGGGTGGCGGAACGTAGTATTTTTGTCTGGAAACCATGCTGAAGCGTGGGCGCATGGGGGGGGGGGGTAGCATATATATATATATATGTAGACGTGTACTGGCCAGTGTATAGTTGCATCTTTATACTTTTATGATGGTATGTTTAGACACTATGTTACTTATATGATTGTATGATTATATACATTATTCATTCATACATGCCTACATATGTATATATGTTTGTATATCGACACACATGGGATGGGGTGCTCAGGGTTTGGAGGGCCTCGATTTGAGGTTCTGGGGTTCAGCGCTGGGCTTGCTTGAGAAACCAGTCAAGGGTCCGACTTGCCCTCAACCCTAAACCCGAAGTACTTCAACCTGAAACCCTTCGGCTGTTTCGCTAGCCGGCTGACTGGCATCACGACCCCCCGTAAAACCCTAAAGCCCTCAAGCCCCACAGCCCCTAAACCGCTAAAGCGCAACGAAGCCAACAACCTTACAACCCTTGAAGCCCTAAGAGCACAAAAACCCGAAGAACCCTAAAGCCCTAGAACCCCTACAAATCCCAGAGAAAAACTGGAAACCCTGAACGCCTAAAGCCCTTACACATCAGAAACCCCGAAGCCCCTAGCAAAACCCTCGAAGCCCTAGAGGCCCCCCCCCCACCCCTACAAAATCCCTCCGCAGGCTCCACACGCCTGGAGCCAGTCCCGGAGGCGGCCGCGAGGGGGACCTCCAGGTTTAGGGTTTTGTGCTCAGAGTTCAGGGTGTAGGATTTAGGGTTCAAGGCTGCACTCTGCTTCCGGCTGAAGGCCGATACATTCCCACGCTCCCGCGAATACTGCCGAAGCTCTGTAAACTCCCCAAACGCCCCCAAAACACCCCAAGAGCCACAAAGTCACTAGGAGTCTCTGTAGTGGCAGGCGGACGCCGACCTCAGCCCCCGCAGAGTCGAACGCCGGACCCCTCTGCCCCTGGTCCTGCTGCCCTTGTCTGGGGAGCAGGCGGGATTCTGGGTTTGGGGTTGAGGGTTTTAGGGTTTGGGGTTCTGGGTTAGGGTTCTGAGTTTAGGGTTCTGGGTTTAGGGTTTAGGGTTTATTGAACTGTCAACCGGGGCTCTTTGAATTCGGGTCGAGTTTCGGCCAAAATTATGTGGTTTGGCATTTAGGTTTCGGGCTTATGAGGAAGGTTGATAAGGTTGAGAAGGTTCATGTGGCTTATAAGGTTTATAAGGCTTATAAGGTTATGAGGCTCATGAGGTTTATGAGGTTTGTGGTTTGTGGGGCTTATGGTTTTATAGGCTTTAAAGTGGTTTCCCCTCCCCCTTAAAGGGACCGTAACTTACAGGGGTGTTTGGGGCTTCAGGCTGGCAGGGTAGCAAGTCCCATCTCTGAAGGCTTTGGGCTGTTGGGGCTCATAGGGCTTTACCGGGGTTAGGTTTTGCAGTGTGTGTGGAGCTGCTGGGGCTTGCAGGGCGTAGGGTGATGTAGGGTTCGAGTTTACAGGGCTTCATAGAGTCTAGGTCTTACAGAGTTTAGGGTGTCGAGCTTAAAGGATTTAGGGTACTTAGGGCCTACAGGGACTTTCAGGAGTTCTCGGGTTCTTAGGGCTAAGAGAGGGCTTTTGGGGCTTATTTGGTTTGAGGGGCCCTCGCAGAGGTTATAGGGCTTTTGTAGGGCTTATCGCGTTTCTAGCGCGGGGTGGGCTTAGCAGGTTCTGTGGGGATTCGTCCTGTTGTTCCTGGGGGGTGAGTAAGTGATGGAGAGGGTTGCTGGATGAAGGTTCAGACTGCAACGTGTAGGGTTCCGGTTATGATTCCTCTATCCCCCCTAAGCCCGAGACCCTAAGCCCTAAACCCCTTTAGCCCCAAAACCGAAGAAGCCTGGGAGCAGGTGCCCCCTGAGATGCTGGTGGAGACCGTCCGCTCCTCGGCGTCCTCAGGCACTGGGCAGGCCCTGAGCGCAGCCAGCGCAGGAGGCAGGGGGGCTCCTGTTGCCTTTTGAGCTTCTCGAGCCATACTTTTGGGGTCGGAATAAGTACTAAGAGTATGCCCTTATGGTGCCAATATGATGATACTACAAGAACCCCCAAAACCCTGTTCTATTTGTTACGGCCCCTATATTACAAGAACCAAGTCTAATCAAGATGCTGTAAGCCCCAAAACGCTGAGGCCGGAAACGCCCCTAGACTTGTCGAACCCCAAAACATGATGTGAGGGTGTCTTTCAAAGTTTCTTCGGGGAGGGTTTTGCCGGTTCGACTTTTGAGGTGCTAGGACGAGGGTCGGCCTTTTACTGAACTTGTGGCTGTGATCCCCAATCCCCACTCCTAGGTAAACCTGGTCGTATGGGCGGTTGCGGGTTTGAAGTGTGCAGAAGCGCAGGTGCATGGGAGGGCAAAAGGGCTTCGGGCCCCGCAATAGCCCTTTAAGGGCCTGGTATATGCCCTCTTAGTAGCCTTCATGCCCCCGTAACACCCCTTGATACCTCTATCTCCCTCAGTGCAGCCTGAAAATCGCCTTGAACCCATCAGGCGCCCCTGTGCGCGGCGCCCTCGCTGCTTTTGGAGCGGGTTGGGGATGTTCGAGGGAGTAGGGCTTTGGGGTTCGACACAAATCTTGCTGATGAACAGGAAGAGTAAACACATGAGCGCTTTTTGAGCAATAATTAGCCCTAGGCCTCAAGCTTGTTGAGCCTTGCCCATGCCCCAGCCTAACCTTTAAACTTTCAGCCCCCAAGCAAAACGGGGGTTTCTCCGACATTAGGGGGTACCGTCTTGGGGTCCTTGTTACAAGGGGAACCTACTATTCGGTCCCCTCCTTTCGTAAACCCCGAAAAATCCCAAAAAACCGATCTCCCAGGTGCCAAGCTTCCCCCTGAGCTGATGGTCACGCGGCCCGCCGGAACTGCGGCCAAAGATGCCGCGCCGGCGCAGGAGCCCGGGCACCAGGGGTTGCAGTGTAGGGCTGTGCTGTAGGGTGACAAGGGGCTCTATACCCTGAAGCCCTCAACCCCTTGCTCAATGCACCAAACGACGTGCGAGCTCATAATTCCTTTGTCCGAAGTCTCCGTTAGAGATCTTTGCGTGCCTCTCGCATGGATCGTCCGCAGGACCACTTGCATAAAACCCTAAACCCCGAAATCCCGAAACCCCTAAACCCTAAACCCCTAAACCCCCAAACCCCTAAAGCCTTTTCCCCGAAACCCCTAACCCCTACACACTTTTCCCTAAACCCCTAGACCCCCAGACCCCCTGAACCTTGTAGGATGGGGGACGTTGCAGCCGCTGCCGCGAGCTGGAGGAGGAGATCGAGAAGCCGCTCGGTTGCCCACATTCGGTTTCTCACCGTTCGTTTTGGAGGGTTAGGTTTTAGGGTTTTAGGAATTTAGGATTTTAGGGTTTTAGGGTTTTAGGGTTTTAGGGTTTTAGGGTTTTAGGGTTTTAGGGTTTTAGGGTTTTAGGGTTTTAGGGTTTTAGGGTTTTGGGTGTTCGGGTTTTAGGGTTGAGGGTTGAGGGTTTCAAGTTTAGGGTTTCGGGTGCTACAGAGCTTCGGGGCTTTGGGGGTGGGGGGGGGTGGGTTGTGTTCGCCTTGTTTGCGGTGTTTGTGTTCGATCTGCTTTCTATACTTGCTCGGAGTTATCCCTTAGGGGGTTTTGTTTGGGGCTGAGGCGCCGGACAGTCAAACTCTCAGCCCCCAAAACCCCAAACCCAAGCCCCAAACCCTAGACCCCAAACCCTAAACCGCGACCCCCGATTGAGCCAAGGCTTCGTGCCTCCCACCAGGAGGCGCTCGAGCGTGAGCGCAGTTTGTGGCGCGAGCGCCTGCAGGAGGCGGAGGCCCCCTCTCAGTGAATGAAGGGTGGGTCTCAGGGAGAAAGGTGGAAGGGGGGGTTTCGCTTTTGGCTTGTTCCGGTGGAGGTTCAGCGCTTGGATTTTTGTTCTCTCTGTCTCTGTCTCTGTCTCCGTCTCCGTCTCTGTCTCTGTCTCTGTCTCTGTCCCTGTATCTGTCCCTGTCCCTGTCCCTGTCCCTGTCTCTGTCTCAGTCTCTGCCTCAGTCTCTGCCTCTCTCTCTGCCCCCCCCTCTCTCTCTCTCTCTGTCTCTCTGTCTCTCTCTCTCTCTCTCTGTACGTTGTTCGTTTGCATATGGCCGGACTCCGGGATGTCTTTTCCTCAGACTTGTGGGGTTTTGAAGCGGACAAGAAACTCCCATGGCCGGATGGTTTCTTAGACAGCGCGCTGCACCTGGAACCCTTGAACTTCACTCCTTGTAGGATCCTTAAGTGATGCTCCGACTTGAAGCGCAAGTCCAGGGGCATCTCAACACCCGGGGCTTAGGGTTAAGGGCTTAGGGTAGGATGATTCTTCGGCTCTTTGAGCCATTCAGCCTTCAGGCTCGTCTTGCCCCTTCAGCCCCAAAAAGCCTGGGTAACCCGTGAGTCCCCACACCTGCAAGGAAGAGGCGCAGCGCCGCCTGCGGGACTTGGAGAGCGAACGCAGCCAGAACCGGGCTGAGGCCTCGATGGAGTTCGGGGCTGTGGGGGCCTTTCGTTTCAGGGGTTAGGGTTTAGGGCTTAGAGGGGGTTGTTTAGGGTTTAGTCCCACTCATGCAGGTTAGGGGGTTACTCCGCTTTTACCATTCCCACTCCGGCGTTCGCATTCCCATCACAGTTCGTTTGGGGTTTCGGGTAGAGGTCTTAGGATTTGGGATTTAGGGAGCCTGTCCTACGTTTGAACGAAACGGACGGAAGGTGGCTACGCCTTATTCCCTCGGCCTCCTAAGCCCCCTAAACCCTGAAAACCCTTTGCCGAAACCCTAAAACCCCTTAACCCCCTAAACCCTAAACCCTAAACCCTAAACCCTAAACCCTAAACCCTAAACCCTAAACCCTACACCCTAAACCCTAAACCCTAAACCCTAAACCCTAAACCCTAAACCCTAAACCCTAAACCCTAAACCCTAAACCCTAGACCCTAAACCCTAAACCCCTAGTCCCCCCGAAGCCCCTAAACTCCAAGCGCACACCGAGAGGCGGTGGCCAAGCTGCAGGATGCCCAGCAGAAGCTCAAGGCCGCGCTGAAGCGCACGTTTCAGCCCTGTGTGTGCGTTTTGGATGTTCCCCCTCTTATACTAGCAGCTCCTTAGTAGGGATTCTAGTACCCCACCCCCCCCATAAAATACATAAAATCCCTAGGAAGAATTGCTCGTCCAAGTTCCTGTTTTTTAGGGCCTTCGGGCCGAGGATGGAGGGTTTAGCAGCGTAAAGAGGTTTCAGGTGGTTAGGGTGTTTGAGGCTTTGATGTGGAGCTGTGCGAGCTCTCAGCTTAAGACGCCTTCCAGGCAGACTTCCCCACAGCCTTTCAGACCCCTAAGAAATCGCCCCAGTTGGAGCTTGATTTGCAAGGATCCATGCGGAGTGTTTGAGCGAAGCCTCCAGAGCCCTGCCCGAAAACCCGAAACAAAAGCTACTGGAGTCAGGTTGAGGAGACCAGGGCCTCGAGCGCCGAGTCACGGTTGGGCCAGGCCAGGCATGAGGGCTTTAGGGTTTAGGGTGTTTCGGGAGGGTGTTGAGGGTTCCCTCTCTCTCTCCCTCCCCCCCCTCCCTCCCTCCCTCCCTCCCTCTCTCCCTCTCTCTCCCTCCCTCCCTCCCTCTCTCCCTTTTTCTCCCTCTCTCCCTTTTTCTCCCTCTCTCCCGTTTTCTCCCTCTCTCTCATTTTTTTCTCCCTCTCTCCCTTTTTCTCCCTCTCTCACTTTTTCTCTCTCTCTCCCTCTCTCCCTCTCTCCCTCTCTCCCTCTCTCCCTCTCTCCCTCTCTCCCTCTCTCCCTCTCTCCCCCTGATCCTATGAAGCATGCTAGCTGCGCGGAGCATTTACTCGACACGACGATCCAGAATAAGTAAGCATCACTCTCTCTTGCATATCTCCCACATTGAGCGTCACGTCTATATATTCACTAAAAACGCTTTCGGGACATCCGCTTCTCTAATAAATTTCTCCCGCGCCGTGTTTCTTATTCTTGCAGCCCACGCAAGCCCATATTCAGCATCGCTGCCGTCAGATAACCAGGAAATAAACGACACAGAAACGATGGGAAAAGGCACAGATGTCAAGCTTTTCCAAGTCGCCGCTTCCCACGTTTTTTCGAGTGCGTTGCTGAAGCTTTTGTGTTGGGAGTTGGTGCAGGTGAGAGGAGTCTGCATTGTAGTTTGGTCGTTTAACGGGTAGGCGGTTAGGCCGAATGAGCCTGCCTGCGTGTGCCTGCTGTTGTTCGAGAGCAGACTTCAGCCCGACCCTGCTGTCCACTAAGATCGCCTTCTTTGCACATGAGCGAGATGCAGCTGTGTGAGATGAGGAGCCTTGATGGACTTGAGAGCGCCGACTTGCTCCCACAAACCGTGGATAAGGTTGATGCCGGTCTGAAGTTTGACGCCTGGCGTTGGCCGCGGCGCTTGTTTCTCTCCTTAGTGGCGTGCGGAGCGACCCTCCTTATCACGATGGGTTTTGGCAGCATGATCGAGGGCAACGAGTCTGCTGTCACGTCCCTCTTCTCTATCCGCACTGATTTCGGTGAGGTACCCTACAAGCTGGAACTGTCGGGAGTGGATTGCCCACTTCGTGTGCATTTCAATGGCGTGTACAAGTATTCCGGCAAAACTCACGATGGTCGACCTTTCTACCAGCATGACACCGAAGATGCCTACATGTACTATGAGCAGAAGTATGTTGAGAAGTTTGGAGCCTGGGTCCTCGCAATGTCCAAGCCGTCGACGAGCAAGTCTGACCACTTGATTTCGAATCCAGGAGGAGACATCATCGCGGATGTCGCACTCCCCAGCCACCACAGCCCTCTCACGTGTGGCCAGTTCGAGTGTCGGCATGAGAAGGCTGGAGCTTTGCCACCGCCGTTTGCGCCCTGGGCTGTTCAATGTGGACATACTTTTGGATGGACGAAGCAGGCGATCAAGGTCAGTGGCGGGCAGATTACTTTGAAGCACTTGCGCAAAACTGGCAGTTGGAAGTACCTGCACACTATCCCCCGGCGCAGTGGTCACCAAGAAAGTGGGCTTTGAAGAGTCCAAGCAAGAGGGAGGCAGCTGGAGCGCCGGTGCGGGAGCTTCGATGGGGACCCAGTTGGGAGGAGGAATCCCTTTCGTGACAAGTGCTGAAGTCGACGTGTCTGCCGAAGTTGAGGCGAGTTTGGACAGCTCGTGGGGTCAAGCTGCCTCTCAGTCATCCTCGGAGTCGTCGACGGTGACTGTTGAGCCAGGTTACACGGCAGTGTTCCAATGGGTATTTGACTTGGATGACAAGAACACTGGCACGAAGGTCGCCACATTGGACACTGCCGAGTTTGCGTTCACACCCAGTGCAGCTAGGCCCCCCAAATGCTACCCTGGTGGCTGCAAGCCATCAGACTCTCCACACTATCAGCTTTGCGAACCAGGCTGGGAGATCTGAGCAAGCGCTTTTGCAATTCGCTTGGCGGCATCGTGCTGAGTGCCAGTTTTGCCCTTTGTGGCGTGCACGTTACATCATCCTTCCCGATTAGAACTTCCATAGCTGAACGGCGGAGGTTGTCTTGAGTACCAACCTCAGACTCCTTTCACTGCAGCCGACGGCTGGCTGCTGAACATATGTAATCGTATGTACCAGCAGTCAGAGTGCAGTCCATAGTCAAATGTTCGGAAAAGGTCGCTGGCGACGGAACGGTCGCCTGGGATGTTTTCTAGACGAAAGCTTCACAGAGAAGTACCAGCTACTCTTCTTGCCAGCTTCTTACCCTAAACTCCCTAAACGCTTTGCGGTTATCCCTAGACCCTCAACCCAAAACCAACCCGGGCGGTAGGTCCGGTCAGAGATGTCCGAGCAGGCGGAAGCCGCGGAGCCGCTCGCCATTGGGGATTTTTTTTCTGGGGGGGGGGGGGGGGGGGGGGTGGGGTTTAGGTTGTAGGGTTTAGGGTTCAGGGTTTAGGGTTTCGGGGTTCAGGGGAAGCTAGGGGTTAGGGGTTAAGTTTAGAGGTGTTTTTTGGGTTTAGATATTTTGGCGTTGCGGATGTTTATTTGGGGCTCTTGGGGTTGAAAAGGGTTTTGGGTCTAAGTGCGGCCTTTTGGGAGTTCAGGGTACAGTAGGGTTTCGGTGTTGGGGGTTTTGGCGAATTCAGGAATCTTGTCAGGTTTAGGGCTTTAGGGTGCTGAGGCTTCTGAGGTCTCAAACCACCATCGAAGCACTTAAATGTCCCTCAGCCTTAACGCCTCTCTCCTAGACCCGAAAACCCATAAACCCTTAAACCCTGAAACCCCAAAACCCTCAACCCTAAACCCCACAACCCAGGGCTAGAAAACCCCCCTAAAACCCTCAAACCCGAAGCCCCCAAACCCCCAGACCTCCAGAGGCGCGCGGGCGCTTGGAAGATGGAGGCCCAGTCCCACGCCGCCTCGCTGTCGGCGGCGGAGCGGCGCTGCGAGGACCGGGGGGGGGGTGGGGTGTAGGGTTGAGGGTTTGGGGTTTGGGGTTTGGGGTTGGGGGTTTCGGGTTTAGGGTTTGGGGTTTGGGGGTTTAGAGGTTTGTGGGGGTTTGTAGGGTGGGGGGTTTGTAGGGTGGGGGGTGTGTAGGGTTTGGGGTCTAGAGGTTTAGACGGTTTGGGACAGGTCTATAGGGTTTGGGTTTTTTTGGACTTCGGTTTTGGGCGCGCTGCCTGCGTCGCGCACCTTCAGCAACCTCCTTGGACAGCTCGGCCCCGTTGACAGGCTGTGCTTGCTACCGGGCAAAGTGAATTGGGGGTTTCCGAAATCAGGGGGTACCTTACTGCGGTCCTTATACAAAGGGAATCTTATTACTTTGGGGGTCAATATTCGGGGCCCCTTATGCTCGTAAACTCCCCAAGTAGATGCTGCTTCGGCATCTGGGCTCAGGGCCATGCGGAGCGCGTGGCCCGCGTGCGGCGTCACGCCGCCGAGGTCGTCACTGGGCTGCACACTTGGCTGTGCACGCGACGAGGGATCGGCTGTTGGACATTGCGGATTGGGATGCTCCCCCTTGTGCTAACAGCCCTTAAAATCGGGATTGTAATAGGGGGTTCTGTAATCCCTGTTTTTAAAGGGCTGTTCGTATAAGGGGGAACATCCAAGCATGAAGATGTGCAGGCTTCAGGGATCAGAGCTTGGGAGTTTGAAGGAGACCCTAAGCGCTAAACAGCCCTAACACCCTAAAATTCTCAACCCCCAAGCCGTAATCCCTAGGCCCTAAACACCCCAGACCCTAAGAGCCCTAAGCCCCTAAGCCCAACCCCAAGCCCCAAGCCCCAAGCCCCAAGCCCCAAGCCCCAAGCCCCAAGCCCCAAGCCCCAAGCCCTAAACCCTAAACCGAAATAGACCTAAACCTAAACCCGAGACCCAGAACCTGAGGAGAGGCAGCGCAAGGAGCTGGTTCGCAACAGCAGCGTGCAGGCCAGCCAGAAGCTCCGCGAGGCGATTCTGGCTCGGGCGGGGTTTGGGTTGTAGGTTTTAGGTTTTGGGTTTTGGGGTTTGGGGTTTGGGGTTTAGGGTTAGGGTTAGGGTTTGGGATTTGGGGTTTGGGGTTTAGGGTTTAGGGCTTTATGCTTCAGGAGTGTTAGGTCAGGTTTAGGACGTTAGGGCTAAGGATTTTGAGGCTTTAAGGGAGGTTGGGGTGGAGTTGTGGTGGGGGGGAGGGGCCTCTAGATCATGAGGCTCCAAACAACTTCTGGCACATATCCCTAACCCTGTGAAATCCGTCTAACAGCGTGGAACTAAAACCCAACACGGCACTGCATCGGACAACCCTGAAGAAGAGTGCATTGAGTGCATTGAGGTCATCAGCCTGATCCATGCTAGCCCTTCGCGCCTAAACCCAACAGACCCTAAAGCCTCAACCCCCAACCCTCAACCCTGAGTCTTTTGACCTTGTGTTAAATATCATATTCAAAACCCTCAACCCTCAACCCTCAACCCTCAACCCTCAACCCTCAACCCTCAACCCTCAACCCTCAACCCTCAACCCTCAACCCTCAACCCTCAACCCCCAACCCCCAACCCTCAACCCTCAACCCTCAACCCTCAACCCTCAACCCCCAACCCCCAATCCTCAACCCTCAACCCCGACACCCTCGCCGGGAGGAGCTGGAGCACGCACAGGCGGAGCGCCATGAGCTGGAGAAGCGCCTCAAAAAGGCGGCCTAGGGATTCTGCAGCCACCCACGCACACGAGTGCCCTAAGCCCGAAGCTTCTTTAGGGTGTAAAAGGGTTTTAAAGGGTTTTAGAGGGTTTAAAGGGTTCAAGGTTTTGAAGGGTTCAAAGGGTTTAAAGGGCTTAAAGGATTCAAAGGGTCTAAAGGGTTCATTCAGAAGGGTTCAAAGGGCTTGAAGGGTGGGGTTCAAAAATTTAATGGGTCAAGGTCTCAGGGTTAACCCGACGCCCACACCGCTGCGCGGAGGCGTTGCCCCGAATCGAGCGCCTCACTGCGGAAGACCATCGGCTGAGTGCGAGGCTGCTGCAGGCGGGCGCAGGGTTTTAGATGCAGGGCTCCAGCCTTGGGTTGCTTTAGGAGGGGCCCATTTCAGGGCCCCTGTGGTTGTTGTAAGTCATGGTCCTTTTAGTTTTCCGTTGCAGTATCTCTCTTAAAGTTTCGGTGGCGGTTGCCTAGAGAAGGACATCGGGCTTGCGTGCATGCGGCCATGTACAGCAGAATACCTGGGTCGCAGGTCCTGGCATAGGCTTGAACGATTCATTGACAGGGGAGATCATGGGAGTTCCCTACATCCAACATCCTAAGCTCCGCAGCAGCTCACCACTCATAGCTTCCAAAAAGCCTAACCCCCGAACCGAGGTTAGGGTTTCGTTTCCCAGTTTCGGTTTCGAAGCCCTACAGATTGAGCCCTTCAACACACCTCAGACCGCAGGAGTCGGAGGTGGCTGCGGCGCAGGCGCAGTCGCTGAAGGCTCGCTTCGGGTTTAGGGTTCAGGATTGTCACCTGGAGCCCTCCGCTTGCTCCAGGTTGCATCAACCGTGAGCCCATTGTGTAAAGCATGATGCATCCTCTGTTGGGCATGTCTGTTCATTATGTTTATGGCCCACTCAAGATGTCCCGAAGCACCCACATGATGCACATTCGTCGGAGGCAACCCAGCAGGTTTCCAGTTGCTGACGAGTCCGAAGCGTTCATTCTGACATGTATACCGTGTTATGCCCTGAAGCCCCGTAGATCCTGCAATTCTTGTACACCCTGCAAACCCTGCAGACCCTGTAAAACCCCACAGAACTGCCCATCCCAGCGGCATCTCACGCAGGAGGAGGGTCTTGAGGTCTCCAGGGCCAAGGACCAACTGTGCCGGCCTCAATCCGCGGGGTTTAGTAGGGTTTGGGCTCCTCTATTTCACGAGGGCGAACAGGGATTTCGGAGGTGGTTGGGCATGGTGCACAAACAAGGTCTGCTTTTCAGATTTGAGATGGGAGGTTGGTTCAGCTCACAGGGACTCGGGTTAGACACGGCTGCAGCACAGCACCGAGCACCGGACGGCAGAAACACCCCATGTTGATCCAAGCACCCGCCCTGTTGAACTCCAAGGCAGAAGCAACGCCGCCTGGCCCGGAGCGAGGCCTGGAAGCTTTCTAGCAGGGTTTAGGGTTTAGGGTTGAGGCTTCGGGGACCTAAGCTCCACACCACCTGCCCCCATGCCTGCACATGGTTTCTCCCGGCAGGCTTGGCTACCTGGTTTTTGCAGTCTTAACGGAAGGCGGACATCAACCCTTGAAGCCTGAAAACTCGTCTTTGCAAGTCCATCGTCTTAGTTCCACCTGGCCGGTCTTCTCAGTCTTGACTCTCGACTTCTTGCCGCCACTTTGAAAGGAAGCAGTGGAAGTTAGGCCGGCAGACCTAAAAGGAGGCACCGAGTCACAGTTCCTAGGAGTGGGAAGTTCTAATCAACCCTAGAAGGAGCCGACACCCTAAACCCCAAACCCGAGACCCCATCTACCCCTATCATCCCCCCCCCAAAAAAAAAACAAGAAAAGAAAAAGAAAACAGGAAAAGCCCTAAGCTCTCTCAACTCTAAGACCAGATGGTGTGTTGTGAACCCCATCCGATGCAGAGGCCGACACAGCCGAGGCGCTGCAGGCGCAGCTTGCTGAGGCGCTGGCAGGGGTTGAGGTCTTGGGGTGTAGGGTTCGGGGCTTGTTGGGATGTTTTCCCTTATGCTAAGAGTCTTTCATAGGGATTATGCTAGGGGGGGGGGGTTCTATAGTCCCTACGAAGGACTGTTTAGTATAAGAGGGAGCATTCCAAGTTCGGGGCTTTAAAGGTTAAGGCTTCGCGGGCTTCAGGGGTTTCAATTTGCAAAGGATGCATACTTGTAGTTCGAGGCTTTGGATTGTTGCTGAACTGAGGGTTTAGAGTTGAGTAGCTTCTCTCTGGCAGTTTAGGCTTTTAGGGTCGTAATGTCTTGAGCACAAAGTTCACCTTCGTGAAATGTTATGCTTTCTCCACAGGAGCGCAAAACCCCTAAGCCATCAACACTCTCAACCCCTACCCGAACCATAAACCCTAAGCCCCTTAACGCCATCTAAACCTAGAGGCGGAGCAGCAGCGGCGCGGCGCGCAGGTCGAGCTCGCGAAGTGCGAATCCTGGAGTTCGCCAAGTGGTGTAAGGGTTTAGGGACTGCAGACTGTAGGGACTTTAGGGTGTTGGGATGTTTCAGGATTCGGGTTTAGGCGCTTTAGGGTTTAGGTACAGAATACAGGGTCTAGGGACCAGGGGGGTTTCCTGCAATTATCTGCGGGTAGTTTCATGGGCCCTTCATGTGGTCCCTGACCTCCTTTACAGGGTTCTGATGTATGGCAATGTATGGGCCCTTAATTTGTGCAGGGTGTACAAGGGGCGTATAACGCGTGCCCTTTTAAGGGCCCATACTAAGGGACCATTTTACTACCCTTAATTGGGTAAAGATTTTAGGGTTCGGGGCTCTGTGAGTGGAGGCTATTTTGTAGGGTTGGGGGCTGAGGGCGGAGGATTCCGGGGTTCTGCGGGTTTTCTCCTTCCTTTTCTGGTTCGGGGAGTGAGGGGAGCCAGGGAACCTGAAAGGCATACTCGGGGCTCCCTACTCCACTGAAAAGTGCCCACCCTAAACACTAACCCTAAACCCTAAACCCTAAACCCTAAACCCTAAACCCTAAACCCTAAACCCTAAACCCTAAACCCTAAACCCTAAACCCTAAACCCTAAACCCTAAACCCTAAACCCTAAACCCTAAACCCTAAACCCTAAACTAAAACCCTAAACCCTAAACCCTAAACCCTAAACCCTAAACCCTAAACCCTAAACCCTAAACCCTAAACCCTAAACCCTAAACCCCAAACCCTAAACCCTAAACCCTAAACCCTAAACCCTAAACTCTAGGGGCCTTTCGTGTATCTACCTGCAGTCCAAGACACGAGTCCCTGCAAACTGAAGCCGATGCCTTACCGGAGTCCTCATATCTTTCTACCCATCCCATAAAGGTCCAGTTGGTTCCCGTAAGGTCCTTTGATGCGGGGGTGCAGGTGGGGGGTGCGGGTGGGGGTGAGGTGGGTGCGGAAAAAAACCCTAAACCCTAAACCCCAAACCGCAGCTGGTCCACTCCGCCTTTTCAGGTCGCAGCGCCTGAGGCAAGAGGAGGGGAAGCGGCGCCCGGGCTCCCAGGTCCCTGGGAGTTTTGGGGGTCTCGCAGTTGGGTTTCGGGTTGAGGGTTTTGGTTTAGGGTTTGGGTTTGGGGCTTAGGGCTTGGGGTTTAGGGTTTACGGCGTTCGGGACTTTCGGGGCTACGTGGACTTGGGGTTTAGATCATGGACCGCGGAGGTCTTTGAAGTAGCTTCCTAGGATTTTTGAGAGGCAAGGCGCACTTCAAAGAAGAGGGGTCGCCCAGTCCTCGGTACAGTGCAGAATGTAGAAGTAAATGATCAGATAAGTAGCCCCACCCTGACTCTCAACCCGGCCCCTGCAAAAACCTGAGCCTTAACGCTTAGACCTAACCCCCAAACTCTTGCTACTCCTTGCTTAAGAACCCCCGGCAAAAATAGAAAATATTCTTCCTCATAAGTGCAATATAGAGGTTATCATGTTTTTCTCTTTTTTGGGTGGGTTCTTAAGCAAATAGTAGCTTAAGCCCCCTAAACCCTAAACCCTAAACCCTAAATCCTAAACCCTAAACCCTAAACCCCAAACCCGAAACCCTAAACCCTAAACCCTACCCTGAACCCTGAACCCTGAACCCTGAACCCTGAACCCTGAACCCTGAACCCTGAACCTGAACCCCAAACCCCAAACCCTAAACCCTAAACCCTTAAGCCCCGAACGCCGGTTTTGCCATCTGAGGCCAGGCAGCCTTTGCCGCAGAGCGTGAGGAGCTGCGCCAGGAGGTGGCACAGCCGGGGCCCTGGGCCGAAGCCATCGTCAGGGTTTAGGATTTAGGGTTTAGGGTTTAGGGTTTAGGGTTTAGGGTTTAGGGTTTAGGGTTTAGGGTTTAGGGTTTAGGGTTTAGGGTTTAGGGTTTAGGGGCTTATGGTTTCGGCAAGATCACGTGCTGACGAAGCTGCGTGAGAAGTGTGCCATAGGTTTGTGAGTGTTTGGCACCCCAGAAGTGTTTCAACGTGTTTTTCTAGGGGGGAGGTGCATCTTACCGTCAGGATAAGGTTTTAGGGTTTAGGCTCTGGGGTGCTTGGAAAGATCCGTGTGAGTTGCTGAGAGGTTGGGGTAGTTGGCTGTAGCTTCTCATCGGTACCTGAAAAGGACACGTGGGCAGTTCTCTAAAGCAAGAGGGAACCTGCCGCATGTCCGCATAGAGGGTTAGGGCTTCTCGCCAAGGGTGCCTTAGATCCTTGGGTGAAACCCTTGGGTGAGCCCCTTTAATGGAGCCAAATATGGAGACCCTGTTCTTCCAGGTGCTTCCCAGATTTGAAGAGGAGAGCGGCAAAGTGTGGTGAAGGTTTGGACTTCCGTAGTCACGGCCGTCCCGTGCCTTGCGTTGGCGGATGAGGATGAGGATGAGGATGATGATGAGGATGATGAGGATGATGATGATGATGATTGTTTTCATTGACATCGTGGACGTCGCTCTTGGCTTTCAGTCCAACTGAGCGTGAAGAGTTCCGAGGAGGATGGGAGCCTTGCGGACCTGTGCATACGGTTCAGGCAGGCTTTATGCCTGTTTTAGATGTGACACTCCCAAAATAGGGGCACCCCTTTTCTACCCCAAATGGAATAGGACCCCCTCAAAGGGACCCCCGACAAGGGTACCCCTATTTTCGGAAACCCCCTACATGGTTTTGAAGTTGGGTTACGGGTTTGGCTTCGGCCCCTTGCCGAGGCTTTCAGAGCGGCTCCGTGTAGCGGAGGCCCCGCACGGCGTCGCAACTCTCCGGGCAAGGGCTTCCACGTTAGCTGGTGCTTAGGGCTCACGGAAGCAGGCAGGTTGAGCTGTGGCTTTTTAGGGCTTCTTAGGGTTTTCGGCAGTTGAAACTACACAAAGGCTTGAGATTTTAGGTTGTTGGTCTCTGGGCCAACGGCTGGGTACAGGGAGCAATCATCTTGACGGGTGATATCAAAGCAGGCGATGCCGGCGCAGGTGACGCAAGCAAACTTTTCGAGTTCAGCCCCGAAACTTGACAAAGTCCCAAATGTGAAGGCCCTTCCACTCCTCCGATGGTACAACCTGGGAAATGCGCCCTCTGGAATATGAACACCACACCCCCCTCCCTAACCAAATCCTCAATCACAAACTCAACGTCCGCAACCCGAAGCCCTGAACCCTAAACCCTGAAGTCCGAAACCCAAACTCCCAAAAGCGTCAGGGCTCCGCTGCCGGCTGGCTGACGCTCCCTTCGCGGGCCCAGGTTCGCCCCACTTGAGTTTAGGTTTAGGGTTTAGGGTTTAGCGTTTCGGGTTTAGGGTTCAGGGTTTAGATTCGAACATGGGCTGGTACTCCCTGGCCCAGCTGTCAAGACCCACTCAAGCGAACCTAATGGGCGTGCCTCGGATACGCGAGGGGTCATCTTGGGGGTTCAAAATCGGAAGGGAGAACCGAGGGGGGCCGATTAGCTCAAGCGAAGAGGGTTCGCCTGTTCTTGCAACCTGGAAACCCTAAGCCTGAAACCCGAATCCCTGAACCAGGCACCCAACAGGGGCCCTGTATTTAGCAGTTGGGCTTGAAGGTTTCCGGGTTCAGGAACGAGCAAGCGCAAGCATCAGGGCTTGGGAATGGCCCTTGCGGAGCTGCCAGAGTGCTCAGCTTCTCCAACCCGCCTCGACACTTTATTTTACGCCCTCGCCCCTTGACGTTCCTTAATTCCTTCTCACGTTGAAGGTTAGTGGTTTCGAGTTTGGGATTTGAAGAAAAAGGTTTGCGGCCCTTCTTCAAGCTCACTCCAATGTCTGTTTGTGGCCCTCCCATCCAAGAGACAGGGCTTTGTTGAGTTCAGGGTACTGGATCTGCTGCGGGTCCATATCCTCAACTTGAAGAAACCTACACCTTCAAATCCCTAAGACTAAGGGGCTCAGGAATGTTCAGCAAGCGCCAACGCAGGCACCGCTGCGCCCGCAGGCGAGCAACATCTCGCGGCTAACGTCCAAGCAGCCTTGGCCTTATGGGGTTCTTAAGGGAGGGGTGTTCATGGGGGTTAGGTACCTAGGGAGCGTTGGGAAAGCTTTAGGGAGTAGTGGGGAGTATCAGGGAGCCTTGAACCCCTCCCCCTTAAGAAGCCTATAATGGTTTAGGGTTTAGGGGGTTTAGGGACTTAAAGCCGAGGTCCATGGTCTCCGACCGATGGATGGACGACGACACGGTGGAGGCGCAACGTTCAATGTGCCAACTCGGTTGTCTCCTTCTGCAAGGCGAAGCACTAGGAGAAGTGCATTCGTTTTAGGAGCCCAGGTTCTAAACCCTAAACCCTGAACCCTGAACCCTAAACCCTAAACCCTAAACCCTAAACCATGTCAGCCACACGGTCAGCCTAAGCATGACCGCACACACTGTGCGGAGTGCTCCACGTCGCTGGAGGCAGAGTCCGTCGCGACAGGGGTTGCCTCCAAGGCCGCGCTGCCTTAGGGTTTAGGGTTTAGGGTTTAGGGTTGAGGGTTGAGGGTTTAGGGTTTCGGGTTTAGGGTTTAGGGTTTAGGCCGTAGGAGCCGACACGAGGCTGTGGATGGAGTGTAATTGTCATTACAAAGGCTTGGGGTTTCGAGCTTCGGGTTTGCCAGAGCCCCAAATACACCCTACATCCGGCCGACAATCCACATGGTAGCCCAGTGGTACCCTCTACCTTTTTTGTTTGGTTATGGGTTCCCTTATAAAACAACCAACCCCAAAAAAGGGTGCCCCCTTATTATAAGATGGTTACTGGGCTACCAAGTCCAGAAGCATGGCGGCACTGGAACTCATTCTTGCAAATAGGCTGCCGCACGAGGGGACCGGATGAAGGTTATCGGTTCCATTTCTTGGGAGAGACCGAGGGAAGTGGGAGCCAAGGATTCTTGGGAAGCCTTCGTCTTTGGGGCAGGGGGTGCTGTTTTTGTAGCTGTCTTTTTGGTCCCCGGAGCGTTGAATGGTGGTAGCAGGGTTTGTTTAAGCCTTAAGCCCCAACGGGGTACAAGTACAGTCCCTTTTATACCCCAATCTAGGTAACCCTAAACCCTTAACCCCAAACCCCAAATCCCAAATCCCAAACCCCAAACCCCAAACCCTAAACCCTAAACCCCAAACCCCAAGCCCGAAAATGCAAAGGGGGCAGCTGGCAAGATGGTTCAGCAGTCTTCGCGAGGCTGTGCCTGCCACGGATGCGGGGATCCGCCTCTTTGAGATGATCCAGCTGGCCAAGGAGCGGCTGATAGGGGCTTCCGGTCGAGGGTTTTAGGGGTTTAAGGTTTTAGGGCTCTGGGGCTTTGGGGCTTTGGGGCTTTACGGTTTGAAGGTTTTTAGGGTGTTTAGGGGTTTAGGCTTGAGGGCTTTTGGGCTTCTGGTTGAGTGTCTGAGTTCAGGACTTTTCGGCGGCTTCCGGTTTCTGCAAAGGGACGGTCGTGGAGTTTCCTTAGTTCTAGCGCAAACATCCAAACCCAGTGAGTTTTTCTCGTACATCTTTTTGGGGGTCTCTGCTTTGTGCGTTCTAAGAACGAAACCTATTGAAGTGAATGGGCTCCAACTCATCCGAGAAATACCGAGAAACACAAGATGAAGTTCATAGATTCCGAGGGAACCTAAGGAGATTCCATATTCTATCAGATATCATTTGTTGGCATTCTTCCCTGAAACAAAAATCTACCAACCAATACAAGTTAATAGGTTTCTGAGAAGCCCAGGAAACGGACAACTTTCTCATATTTGCCTTGGAACCCTTGTTGTCAATAACTCCGAATGTTTCCAAACCCGGCTAATATGATGAGCGACTAATCGTGATCAAGGGGAAGCATCGATGATCTGCAGCCGGCATACGTTTCGGGTTGTAAGCTGCGCATTCCTGGGTTTTGTAACCCCGCCAGAAGCACTGTAAAGGGCGGGGAAACCCCCTAAACCCTAAACACAACCCTAAACCCTAAACCCTAAACCCTAAGCCCTAAGCCCTAAGCCCTAAGCCCTAAGCCCTAAACCCCAAACACTAAACCCTAAACCCTAAGCCCTAAGCCCTAAGCCCTAAGCCCTAAACCCTAAACCCTAAACCCAGTATGTCTTTGTATTTTGGACAGAAACATCCAGATGCAGGCCTTAACCCTGACCTCAACACAAAAGCGAAGCGAAGCTCCGAAGCCCCCAATGAGAATTCCTAAAACAGCATCTGGTATGGGGCGGGGGGGGCTTTAGGGTTTAGGGTTTAGGGTTTGAAGGGGTTTCTAGAACAAGGATTGTGTAGTATTTTGGGGTACAGAAGGGGTTACCCCGATCTTGGGGAAATGCTCGTACCAGCAACATATCGTTTTGCAGAAGAAGCTCCCCAAGAAGCACACGTCCACCCTAGGGTTTAGGGATCAGGGCTTCAGAGCTCCCTACTGCGGTTTAGGGTTGGGATGTTCCCCCTTATACTTAGAGGGGGTATTATAATCCCTACTCAGGACTGTTAGTATAACCGTAAACCCTAAAGCCTAAACCCTAAACCCGGAACATCCCAAGTTTCGGGCGCCACGAAAGAGGAGCGATCCGACCAGCGCCGGGAGCTGACCGACGCGACGGAGGAAGTGCGGGAGCAGGCCCGGGCTCCGGGTTTAGGGTTTAGGGTTTAGGGCTTAGGGTTTAGGGTTTAGGGTTTCGGGTTTAGGGTTTGGGGTTTAGGGCTTAGGGCTTAGGGGTGAGGGGGGCAAGGGGGGAGGGAGGGGGTGGTCGTTCCAAAGAAGCCTAGAGACTTTTGATTCCAGTTGCCGTTTTTGTTGTTGCCTCTTGATGGCATCTATCTTTGGGGTGGTTATGAGGATCCTTTACTTGAAGGAGGGTCCAGGGTTTAGGGTTGAGATTGCGTTTAGTCTCAGGCAGAGGTTTACAAGGCCTGACGCATTCGGCCAGGCGCGTGCTCTGGAGGCAATGCGGGGGGCCGAGTCTAGGGAAGACGAGGGAGATGCAGAGAGCAACGTCGATGCAAGGTTTAGTGTCCACTTAGGATGGGCTTCGGAGGTGGGGGTTTAATCAGTCTTAATTTTGGGGGCTGCATCGCGAGCTTCCGAACTCGGACGGTTAGTTTCGGGCTGAGCATTGGCGCTGTCAACAACCTCAGCGCGCTTTTATCCCTCGAACCCCAAACCCTAAACCCTAACATAGGGTTGGTGGTGTAAAGCTTGAGGGATATACTCGTAGGAGAATTATGGTTGTTGCGCAAACCCCAAACCCCAAACCCTAAAGCCTAACCCCTAGCCCCGAACCCCTAAACCCTAAACCCTGAAACCCTAAACTCCAAACCCCAAACCCTGAAACCCTAAACCCTGAAACCGTAAACCCTAAACCCTAAACCCTAAACCCTAAACCCTAAACCCTAAACCCTAAACCTTAAACCTTAAACCTTAATCCCTAAACCCTAAACCCTAAACCCTAAACCCTAAACCCCTGAGCAGGAGCTGCTGACATTGGAGCAGGTGCCCATGACGCGGGCGGCATATGTCGAAGCGATCTGAGGCCCCTGGCCTGGCTTAGGGGTTTAGGGTTTAGGGTTTTAGGGGTTTAGGGTTTAGGGTTTTAGGGGTTTAGGATTTAGGGTTTAGTGTTTAGGGCTTAGCCGTTCATTGTGGGGTTAGATTCCCTCGTATACCCATGTTGCGAGCAAGGACGCCCTGAATTTTCTGATACTGAGAAGCTAGACACTCGGCTGGGGACGTAGGATCTCAGTGGCTCGCGCTTGGTGCCTGCTGTTTGTGCACTTCTCTCAATGGTGGACCTTTTGTGGGGCACAGTACCCCAACTACAAGGGCTGCATTGCAACAGGGACTCCCCCAAAGGGACCATGATTTAGAGAAGTGCACGTCTGTGCATGTGAGTTAACGAATCGCGCCGAAGAAGCTTGGCGCTCGTGGCGAGGAGGTCTTGCAACTAGGGTTTAGGGTTTAGGGTCAAGGTTCAGGGGTTTGAGCTTCAATGCAAGTGCACGCACCGTTCCTTCACAGCTGTCGGCAACGCAGACCGGTTCTCTCCTGTCAGCATCGGACAAAACGTCAACCCAATCTTGTCTTCACGTTGCATGCCTTCTGATGTTTATTCCTCGAAAATCGAGAGGGGCCCACCCTAAAGCGACACCCCTGTTGCCGAAGAGATGCTGTACTTGTCAGGGTGCTACTCCTCGAAAATCGATAGGGGGCCCACCAGGCATGTTCCGCAACGATCGACGAACGCATGGTTTTGTCAGTCACTCGCATGAATCCCGAATCTCGAATCCCAAGCCTAAGACCAAGGCAAGCTCCAAAGGAAGCTCCAGAAAGTAACAGGGGTCTTTGGCATGCCGTCAAGGCATGTGAGACCTCCTTTGTATCTTAGTGCATCACGGCTGTTCGCCCACTCCAAAGGCTGCAATGACAACATCCATCGGGAAGCTGTAAAGGCCCTGGTTTAGGGCTCAAGGGTTAAGGGGTTTAAGGTAGGGTTTAAGGTTTAGGGTTTAGGGTTTAGGGTTTAGGGCATATGCATGGCAGCTTCCGGCGCACTAAGCCAGCGAAGCCCTCCAAGACCCGAAACCTGCAGCCCGCCACAATCCTACGGCCCCGACCAGGAAAAGCAAGAAAGCCCCAAAACCTGGACTAGCCTGTGGATGCCTCAAAATGTCGGTATAGAGCCTTCCATTGTGCATCCTACTTATAGCTGGTGTTTGAAAGTAGGCAGCCGGGTACAATGGCACAATTTTTCCAGACAGGGCTCAGGGGTGTAAGCTTGGGGCTGCTTACAGGGGGGTTTAAGGGGTTTAAGGGGTTTAAGGGGTTTAAGGGCTTTAAGGGCTTTAAGGGTTTTAGGGGGGTTTTTGGCTGCGGGTTTTAGCAGCTTGGTTTCTTGACAGGCGTATCAGCCTCAGACCCCGAAACTCTTGCGTGCCACGCGAAGTTCTTGGACTAGAATCCCTCTCTTTGGGGATTGGGGGCACCCTAAGCCCTACTGACCCTACACCCTAAACCCCCCCCCCCTGCCAAGCTGGCCACAGGTTTAGGGTTTAGGGTTTAGGGCTAGTCCCTTTTATTGAGATGCCCAGTAAAAAAAGGCACGCTCCGAACGCAACCCTCTGGAGAAGGCTCGGCTGAGTCGTTCTTACGAGCGGCTCGGCGGCCTTTGTAGATCGTGGCTGGTTCGAATTGGCGGCGGCCTTTGAAGCCTTGGCTGAGCTTGGGGGGGACACCCTTGGGAACAGTTCTGGCGCACCCGCCTTCTTGCGACGAAGCTGAAAGTGATCAGTCGGAGGATGGGCTCCCTCTTCGGTTAGGGGTGATGAGTTTTTTTTTCATACATATTTGTATATATTAAAGAATATACAAGTTGAGACCATTTTGCGGCTACCTCTTACAGTAAGTTACTGCATAACCCGAAAACTCCGACCTTGTACAGCTTCTCACTTTCGCGCTTGGCAATAATTCGTGCTTTGGCAGCGGTCGGCCTCGCGCTTGACGCACCACCTTGACGTCATGAAAAGAGGCTGAGGGGGCACACTGTTGGAGCTATAGACCACCAAGTCTTGCAGTGACAGCAGGGAAGGTGCAAACTACGCAATGGGCTCCATCAAAGCAACATCAAGCTTGCCAGGGGGCTTCTGGCCGGCTGGCAAGAGTAGTGCCTTGACGGGTGGTTCCTTCAAATGAGCCAACATGCACAACATGCACACGCACACTCGCACACGGGCACCGGTAGCCGTGGAGAAGCTGTCAAGGGGAATAAGATTGAAGGTCTGAGCAAAATCCATGCTCACCCCAGGTTGACTGGGAACTTAGGTGGGAGGTTGGGAAAAGGCCGGTTGCAGGTAAGGAAGTCGGTTCGGTGGAGGGTTGTAAAGAACTATCACGAAGGGGATGAATTACAACGCTGCACAAGTGTGTCGCAACCGCGTGAGCTGGCAACTTAGCAGAAGAAAAGGAGAAGAACAAGAAGAAGACGAAGAAGAGGAGGAGGAGGCGGAAAGCGCGCGCGCACACTTTCCCATGTCTGAACGTCCCGACCACCGAGTGCTTTCTAAGTGTCGACCGGGCTCGGGGGAACAGAGACGGTGACCGCAAACTGGCCCAAGCACAATCTTGTGGCCTGATCGTTTTGTCAAATTGCAGGCCTGGGCATGGCAGATGAAGCGCCAAGCCCACCGGAACCGGGCAATGAAGTCCGTCCTCAGCGCCGATGTGGAAGACGGGCAGTCCTGTCCACTGGAACCGCTGTTGCTGTGTGCATCTTTTTCGTGGCTGGAGCTTTGAGAGTACGCCACACGGCTGGAGCGCCAGTACCAGCCCCGCCAGCTCCGTCCAGGTAGGAGTTTTACGAACATCGCGTTGGTTAAGGTTAAGGCGTTGAGACAGGTTTAGACCAAGATGAGCTGGGGTCAGGGACAAAGCTGAGCTCCGTCGTGCAAATCCCCAAGGACGCTGACGGTTCCGGGATCCGATCTGGCCACGTCCAATCTTTGGGAGTCGAGCGCAGAACTCCAGGGCCAATCCTTATACAGCCGCTTGGTTCAGAACTAACATCGGCCATATTCTCTATGCCGCTGCTTGTGGCATTGTTGTGGCCCTGTGATATAAGCCAATATGGGTATTTCCCAACATAGGGGGTACGGTACCCTTTATATACCCCAAAATACGACAATCCTTCTTTCTCGGAACCCCCAAAAAGGTACCCCAATGTTCGCTAAGCCCCATACAAGCTCTGAGTCATGGCCAGGGCCGCTGCCATCAAGCTGCTTCCAGCAAGTCCGCTGCAGCTTCCTCCGCGAGGCGAACAAGTATGAGCACCGATCATCATCGGAGCTGTCCGACACGCTGGCGATTCAATTTGGTGTTGGGCCGCGCTTCTTGCGGCGGACCCTGGGCTTTCTGTTGGGCAACGCCAGTCAGAAGCACGCGGAGGAGCGGCGGTCCTTCCTGTACAGGGAGTTCCTTCGACGCGGATGCGGCCCAGAGTTGATCCCGGAGTGCAGGCCGGATGGTGTCGGTTTGGGGAAATAGTCAAAATGAAAACAAAACCCCCCCGAACCGGCAAACACCGGACTCAAAACCTATATACCATTTCCGTAGGCCCTGCGCCCTCGGATCTTGTGGCCCTGAGTCGTCTTCGAGCTAAGAAACCCAAAGCCTCGCAACGCGCAATCCGACGTAATGTTGACCTCCGAATAGTCAACCTCCCCCCCCCCCCCTCTTGACTGACTTTTGTTTCCGCCCCCTATTGAGGGGAGGGGGGGGGGGGGTCGGGTTGTCCCGAGCCCCCCCCAAGGACCTACCCAAAAAACAGGGCCCTGCGCTGGTGCATCAGGGCGAAGCCCCTAAATAAACCCTAACCCCTAAACCCTAAGCCCTAAACCCTAAGCCTGAAACCCTAAACCCCAAACCCTAAGCCCAGAAGCCTAAACCCTAAACTCTAGGATGCGCATGCAACTCTAAGCCAGGTACAATCGATCTCTGTTGAGCCCTGCCGTCGAATCCGCCCTGAGCCGGCTATTGCGCGAGGCTCCTGTGGGCAAAGGCGACAGCCAGGCTCTTCGAACATGGGAGAAAGAGCCTCGGGCTTCCACTGGCACACCCTTCTTCCCATTTTTTGGTGGTCTTAATCTCTATGTAATACTCCATGAGAGCCGAAGAAGGCTTGATCTTGTTGTTCCTAGCTTCACACGAGAATGCAGGAGCTTTTGCCAATGGTCGGAACTCATGTCCAGATTGGCAGTGAGCGTGGCGCAGAGCTGAATCTGTTGGCATCCTCGCAGGTGGTCACTGACAATGCGGGAACTTGCTTCTCAGCGGATCTTTGCGCGCTTCTGGCCCCTTTGCTGAAATGGCTGCCCAAGACGCTGTCGTGCAACACCGGCGTGTGCCATAACAGCCAGACACGGATTTCGGACGAGCACCTCCTGTGCGCTTTCCGTGGAGGTGATCCCCAGGCCACCTTTGAATGCGATCCACAAAGTTGGACCAACACCTCTCGTACCAATTTTCTGCTCAGCGGCGACCCCACCCAACCTGCAAGCACGTACAGGTATCGCTGGGAAGAGGTGTCAGTGATACTTGACAGGATGGGCTTGCCAGAGGCCGCCCAGGCCCTGGACCTGCTTTCGAGTTTCCGTGCATGCCATGGTGAAGGAAGGCTGTGGAAGGCGGACAGCACGGGTGTGTACAAGTGCGAGTGTAACTTGCAGTGTGGCAATGGCCAGCTGCAGAAAGACAGCTGCACTTGCGAGTGCCCTGGTGATGCGTGGCACGGATGGGCCGGGGCGACCTGTGCCACAACTTATGGCAAGTGCATCAAGGGCAAGGGCACAGGAGGTGTGGACCCGTTCCATGCGGTGGGGCATGCCTGCGATTCTGGAAATGAGTGCAGCACTAGCACTGCATCCACCACATGCAAGGCAACGGTGGCGTGATGCACTTGGCAGAGTTTGGTCACTGAAATTTTGCGACCTGCGCGGCATTCACACATTGCGAACTTCATGTCCTCTGCCTAAGCTAAGGAAGTTTGTTGCCTCACCGGCTTCAATGCGTTGTGCTGCAAGTTCCGGCCTTGGACCTGTGCGCTCCGCGCGTCGAGAAGGTATCTGAGTGTTGCGAGTCGAGCGATCTCAGTTGTAGAATGTGCCACGCCAGCCGAGGTTCGGGAGTACCTGCGACTGTGGACCTTGGACTTGCGCATGCGTGGACGGCGACGACATCTCGCAGATGTTGGTCTAGGGGTCACGACAAGGCTCTCGTTCTTTCAGGGTTCCGCTACGGGACGACCGAGGACGGCGGGTGGAATGGAAGCGATTGTGAGGGCCAAAGTGCTTGCGCCTCGGAATTGCTGTTGATGCCCAAAATGTTCTGGGATTTACGTACCTCCCCCAAAGGATTAAATCATACCAAATCAAGACCCGATCGAAATACTGCGGCATCACATGACCACTAACTTATTCATGGATCTGCCGACAATAAGGGAGGTCGGTCGCGTAGTATTTTGC